TGAGAGGCGAATGAGAGGGGAATGAGAGGTGAATGAGAGGAGAATGAGAGGAGAATGAGAGTGGAATGAGAGGAGAATGAGAGGTGAATGAGAGGCGAATGAGAGGAGAATGAGAGGGGAATGAGAGGCGAATGAGAGAGGAATGAGAGGTGAATGAGAGGAGAATGAGAGGGGAATTAGAGGGGAATGAGAGGGGAATGAGAGGAGAATGAGACGGGAGTGAGAGGGGAATGAAAGGGGAGTGAGAGGGGAATGAGAGGGGAGTGAGAAGGGAATGAGAGAGGAATGAGAGAGGAGTGAGAGGAGAATGAGAGTGGAATGAGAGGGGAGTGAGAAGGGAATGAGAGGAGAATGACAGGGGAATGAGAGGGGAATGAGAGGAGAATGAGAGGGGAATGAGAGTAGAATGAGAGGAGAATGAGAGGGGAATGAGAGGCGAATGAGACCGGAATGAGAGGGGAATGAGAAGCGAATGAGAGGGGAATGAGAGGTGAATGAGAGGAGAATGAGAGGGGAATGAGAGGGGAATGAGAGGGGAATGAGAGGTGAATGAGAGGGGAATGAGAGAGAAATGAGAGGAGAATGAGAGGGGATTGAGTGGAGAATTAGAGGGGAATGAGAGGTGAATGAGAGGAGAATGAGAGGAGAATGAGAGGAGAATGAGAGGTGAATGAGAGGAGAATGAGAGGAGAATGAGAGGAGAATGATAGGTGAATGAGAGGTGAATGAGAGGGGAATGAGAGGGGAATGAGTGGAGAATGAGAAGGGTATGAGAAGGGAATGAGAGGGGAATGAGAGGGGAATGAGTGGAGAATGAGAGGAGAATGAGAAGGGAATGAGAGGGGAATGAGAGGAGAATGAAAGGAGAATGAGAGGAGAATGATAGGTGAATGAGAGGTGAATGAGAGGGGAATGAGAGGGGAATGAGTGGAGAATGAGAGGAGAATGAGAAGGGAATGAGATGGGAATGAGAGGGGAATGAGAGGGGAATGAGTGGAGAATGAGAGGAAAATGAGAAGGGAATGAGAGGGGAATGAGAGGGGAATGAGTGGAGAATGAGAGGAGAATGAGAAGGGAATGAAAGGTGAATGAGAGGTGAATGAGAGGTGAATGAGAGGAGAATGAGAAGAGAATGAGAGAGGAATGAGAGGTGAATGAGAAGGGAATGAGAGGAGAATGAGAAAGGAATGAGAGGTGAATGAGAGGGGAATGAAAGGGAATGAGATGGGAATGAAAGGGGAGTGAGAGGAGAATGAAAGGGAATGAGATGGGAATGAAAAGGGAATGTGGGGAATGAGAGGGGAATGAAAGGGAATGAGATGGGAATGAAAGGGAATGAAAGGTGAATGAAAGGGAATGAGAGGGGAATGAAAGGGAATGAGATGGGAATGAAAGGAGAATGAAAGGGGAATGAAAGGTGAATGAGAGGGGAATGAAAGGAGAATGAACCCTCGTCCATGTCTTGAATGAACGCAGCAGGTGGTGACAGGGGCCTGGGGGGGATGAGGTGGGGGCTGGGGGCGGGGTGGTGGCGGAATAGGGCGGGGCTTGTTGGGGGAGGGGCGGGGTTGGAGGGGCTGGGGGCGGGGCTGGGGGAACAGGTGGGGGTGGGGCTGGGGTACTGTGGGGGGGAGGGTGGGGTTGGGGGCGGGGCTGGAGTTGGGGAGGGGGCGGGATGGGGTGGCTGGGGGCGGGACTAGTGGGGGGTCTGGGGGCGGGGCTTGGGAGAGAGGGCGGGGCTGTATACTGGACTATGGGAGAGGGGGCGGGGCGAGGCAGGAGGTGGAGCAGGGGGGCGGGGCTGTGGAGGAGTAGGTGGAGGCGGTGCGGGGCTATGGGAGGCAAGGGGGGAAGTGGGCGGAGCTAGAGGGGCAGGGCTGAGGGGCGGGGCTGGGGATGGAAGGCGTGGCTACGGGGGGCTGTGCGTCGTAGGGGGCGGGGCTGTGGTGGGTTTGTGAGACTCGCCCCCACCCTCCCCCCCGCGGTGTCAGATCGGGGCGTGTTCGTGAATGACCTCTAAAGGCAAAGATCCCCCGAGTAGCCTGGCCGGGCATGTTGGGGCAAGTGTCTCTGTGTGTGTGTAATGGGGCAAGTGTCTCTGTGTGTGTGTGTTGGGGCGAGTGTCTGTGTGTGTGTTGGGGCGAGTGTCTGTGTGTGTGTGTTGGGGCAAGTGTCTCTGTGTGTGTGTTGGGGCAAGTGTCTCTGTGTGTGTGTTGGGGCAAGTGTCTGTGTGTGTGTGTGTGTTGGGGCGAGTGTCTGTGTGTGTGTGTGTTGGGGCGAGTGTCTGTGTGTGTGTGTGTTGGGGCAAGTGTCTGTGTGTGTGTGTGTTGGGGCAAGTGTCTGTGTGTGTGTGTGTTGGGGCAAGTGTCTGTGTGTGTGTGTGTTGGGACAAGTGTCTGTGTGTGTGTGTTGGGGCGAGTGTCTGTGTGTGTGTGTTGGGGCGAGTGTCTGTGTGTGTGTGTTGGGGCGAGTGTCTGAGTGTGTGTGTTGGGGCGAGTGTCTGAGTGTGTGTGTGTTGGGGTAAGTGTCTCTGTGTGTGTGTGTTGGGGCGAGTGTCTGTGTGTGTGTGTGTTGGAGCAAGTGTCTCTGTGTGTGTGTGTTGGGGCGAGTGTCTGTGTGTGTGTGTTGGGGCAAGTGTCTGTGTGTGTGTGTTGGGGCAAGTGTCTGTCTGTGTGTGTTGGGGCGAGTGTCTGTGTGTGTTTCAATAAATTAGAGATGTAGGTCTTGTTGGAATTCCCTACACCTCTGCTGTAGCAGACGGACAGAAAATATGGCATCTGTGCAGGACCGCCCTTTCCTGAAACCGCATTGGGGCTCCGCAAGCCTCTCCTCAGCGTGCCTGGCAAGGCGATGCTGAATAATCCTTGCCAGGACCTTTCCCGGCACACTGAGGAGTGAGATGCCCCTGTAGTTGTTACAGTCTGTGCGGTCCCCCTTCTTAAAGAGAGGGACCACCAGGGCATCCTTCCAATCCTACGGAACCCGTCCAGTGGTCCAGACCGTTGTTATGATGTCATATAGGGCAGTCTGTGCACAAACGCCACCCTCCCTCAGCATTTTGCTTGGGAGATCATCTCTGCCCGGTGCCTTTCCTGGTCTCAGACTCCGGATCGCCTTCAGTACTTCCTCAACAGATGGCACCTCAGCCAGCCACTCACAGGGGGTGACTTCTTCCAATATTTGAGGCACCGCAGCCTCAGCAGGGTCATCCTCACCTTGTGCCACGATGTTTTCCTGGCTGAGGGATTTCCCCTCCCCCAGGATCTCACAGAAATGCTCAGAAAATCTGCGAACCTGTTACTGGGGGTCGGAGATTGGATCACCGTTTTTTTCCCCTAATGATGTTAATAGGTATGGCGCTGCAGGTTACTTTTTTGATGGAGTTAAATAGAGATTTGTGATCGCGGGCCACTGAGGCAGACTCCATCTCTTCAGCAACCAGCGCCCACCACCCATCCTTGCAGAGCCTCACGGCTCTCAGAACCTGACACGCACACACGCAGTACTATTTAAAAATTCCCACCGAGACACAGGGAGAAGGTGGTGAGTGGGTGCTGGGTGGGTGGCATGGTTGATGGGTGGGTGGTATGTGGGTGGTGTGTGGGTTGTGTGTGGGTGGCATGGTGGGTGGTGTGTGGGTGGTGAGTGGGTGCTGCGTGGGTGGCATGGTGGGTGGTGTGTGGGTGGTATGTGGGTGGTGTGTGGGTTGTGTGTGGGTGGTGTGTGGGTGGTGTGTGTGTGGTGTGTGGGGGGTGTGTAGGGGGTGTGTGGGGGGTGTGTGGGTGGTGTGTGGGTTGTGTGGGTGGTGTGTGTGGGTAGTATGTGGGTGGTGTGTGGGTGGTGTGTGGGTGGTGTGTGGGTTGTGTGTGGGTTGTGTGTGGGTGGTGTGTGGGTTGTGTGTGGGTGGTGTGTGGGTGGTGTGTGGGGGGTGTGTGGGTGCTGCGTGGGTGGCATGGTGGGTGGTGTGTGGGTGGTATGTGGGTGGTGTGTGGGTAGTGTGTGGGGGGTGTGTGGGGTGGTGTGTGGGTGGTGTGTGGGTGGTGAGTGGGTGCTGCGTGGGTGGCATGGTGGGTGGTGTGTGGGTGGTATGTGGGTGGTGTGTGGGGGGTGTGTGGGTGGTGTGTGGGTGGTGTGTGTGTGGTGTGTGGGGGGTGTGTAGGGGGTGTGTGGGGGGTGTGTGGGGGGTGTGTGGGTGGTGTGTGGGTGGTGTGTGGGTAGTGTGTGGGTGGTGTGTGTGTGGTGTCTGGGTGGTGTGTGGGTGGTGTGTGGGTGGTGTGTGGGTGGTGTGTGGGTTGTGTGTGGGTGGTGTGTGGGTGGTGTGTGGGGGGTGTGTGGGTGCTGCGTGGGTGGCATGGTGGGTGGTGTGTGGGTGGTATGTGGGTGGTGTGTGGGTAGTGTGTGGGGGGTGTGTGGGGTGGTGTGTGGGTGGTGTGTGGGTGGTGAGTGGGTGCTGCGTGGGTGGCATGGTGGGTGGTGTGTGGGTGGTATGTAGGTGGTGTGTGGGGGGTGTGTTGGGTGGTGTGTGGGTGATGTGTGTGGGTGGTGTGTAGGGGGTGTGTGGGTTGTGTGTGGGTGGTGTGTGGGTGGTGTGTGGGGGGTGTGTTGGGTGGTGTGTAGGGGGTGTGTGGGTTGTGTGTGGGTGATGTGTGTGGGTGGTGTGTAGGGGGTGTGTGGGTTGTGTGTGGGTGGTGTGTGGGTGGTGTGTGGGGGGTGTGTGGGTGGTGTGTGGGTTGTGTGGGTGGTGTGTGGGTTGTATGTGGGTTGTGTGGGTGGTGAGTGGGTGGTGGGTAGGTGGTGTGTGTGTGGTGAGTGGGTGGTGTGTGGGTTGTGTGGGTGGTGTGTGGGTGGTGTGTGGGTGGTGTGTGGGTAGTGTGTGGGTGGTGTGTGGTAGTGTGTGGGTGGTGTGTGTGTGGTGTGTGTGTGGTGTGTGTGTGGTGTATGTGTGGTGTGTGTGTGTGGTGTGTGGTGAGTGTGTGGTGTGTGGGTGGTGAGTAGAGAGCGGGGGGGTTACTTTAAGGTCACGTGCTCCACACGATCCCCATTGGTTCCCCGCTGCGGTGCCCCAGTCATAAAGTCTCCCCACGATCCCTCAGCTCCCTTTTTGTCATCGCAGTTGGAACCCGAGGCAAGGTGGGTGGCAGACAGGGAGACACAGAGACACAGAGTGACAGACAGACACAGAGACACAGAGTGACAGAGAGACACAGAGAGACACAGAGACACACAGAGACAGACAGGGAGAGAGACACAGAGTGACAGACAGACAGAGAGACACAGAGACAGAGAGACACAAAGACAGAGAGACACAGAGAGACACAGATACACAGAGACAGAGAGACACAGAGACACAGAGTGACAGACAGAGAGACACAGAGAGACACAGACACACAGAGACAGAGAGACACAGAGACAGAGAGAGACACAGAGACACAGAGAGACACAGAGACACACAGAGACACAGAGAGAGACAGCGAGACAGACAAAGAGACAGAGAGACAGACAGAGAGACAGACAGAGAGACAGAGAGATACAGAGACAGAGAGAGAGACACAGAGACAGACAGACAGAGAGAGACAGAGAGACAGACAGAGAGACACAGAGACACAGAGAGACAGACAGAGAGACAGACAGAGAGACAAGGAGACAGACAGAGAGACAGACAGAGAGACAGACAGAGAGACAGGGAGACACACAGATAGACACAGAGACAGACAGACAGAGAGACAGAGAGATACAGAGACAGAGAGATACAGAGACAGACAGAGACAGACAGAGACAGCGAGACAGACAAAGAGGCAGGGAGACAGACAGAGAGACAGAGAGACAGACTGAGAGACACACAGAGACAGACAGAGAGAGACAGCGAGACAGACATAGAGACAGGGAGACAGACAGAGAGACAGACAGAGAGACTGGGAGACAGACAGAGAGAGACAGGGAGACAGGGAGACAGACAGAGAGACAGCGAGACAGACCGACAGATAGACACAGAGACAGAGAGACAGAGAGACAGAGAGACACAGAGATAGACAGAGAGACAGACAGAGAGACACAGAGGCAGAGAGACACAGAGACAGACAGAGAGACAGACAGAGAGACAGACAGAGAGACAGACAGAGAGATACAGAGACAGACAGAGACACAGAGACAGAGAGACACAGAGACAGACAGAGAAACAGACAGAGAGACAGACAGAGAGACACAGAGACACAGAGACAGACAGAGAGACAGACAGAGAGACAGAGAGAGATACAGAGACAGACAGAGACACAGAGACAGAGAGACACACAGACAGACAGAGAGACAGACAGAGAGACACAGAGACACAGAGACAGAGAGACACAGAGACAGACAGAGAGACAGACAGAGAGACAGAGAGACAGACAGAGAGACAGACAGAGAGACACAGAGACAGAGAGACACAGAGACAGACAGAGAGACAGACAGAGAGACAGAGAGACAGACAGAGAGACAGACAGAGAGACACAGAGACACAGAGACAGAGAGACACAGAGACAGACAGAGAGACAGACAGAGAGACAGACAGAGAGACAGAGACAGAGAGACACAGAGACAGACAGAGAGACAGAGAGACACAGAGACAGACAGAGAGACAGACAGAGAGACAGAGAGACACAGAGACAGACAGAGAGACAGACAGAGAGACAGAGAGACACAGAGACAGACAGAGAGACAGACAGAGAGACAGACAGAGAGACAGAGAGACACAGAGACAGACAGAGAGACAGAGAGACACAGAGACAGACAGAGAGACAGACAGAGAGACAGAGAGACACAGAGACAGACAGAGAGACAGACAGAGAGACAGAGAGACACAGAGACAGACAGAGAGACAGACAGAGAGACAGACAGAGAGACAGAGAGACACAGAGACAGACAGAGAGACAGAGAGACACAGAGACAGACAGAGAGACAGACAGAGAGACAGAGAGACACAGAGACAGACAGAGAGACAGACAGAGAGACAGAGAGACACAGAGACAGACAGAGAGACACAGAGACAGACAGAGAGACAGACAGAGAGACAGAGACACAGAGACAGAGACACAGAGAGACACAGAGACAGACAGAGAGAGACAGAGAGACACAGAGACAGACAGAGAGACAGACAGGGAGACAGATAACGTCTCAATGTTCTGCTCTGTCTCTGTGCGTGGTTGTGGATTTCTCTGGTCATGTGATTTGCTTCTCCCTCTCTACATTGATCATCATCATCATCACGCTTTTGGAGTTATTTCGCTCCTGTTCCACATTCCCACACAGTGGTGATGCTTGGAGGAGCCTTACACCTGCTAACATGAAAACACTTGAGTTTTAGTATGCGTCTCTGTGGGTCTCTATGGGTCTCTATGGGTCTCCATGAGTCCATATGGATATCTGTGGGTCTCTGACTATGGGTCTCTATGGGTCTCTATGATTATGGGTCTCTATGACTATGGGTCTCTATGGGTCTCTATGGGTCTCCATGAGTCCATGTGGATCTCTGTGGGTCTCTATGACTATGGGTCTCTATGGATCTCTGTGGGTCTCCATGAGTCCATATGGATCTCTGTGGGTCTCTGTGAGTCTCTATGGGTCTCTGACTATGGGTCTCTATGGATCTCTGTGGGTCTCTATGAGTCCATGTGGATCTCTGTGGGTCTCTGACTATGGGTCTCTATGGATCTCTATGGGTCTCTGACTATGGGTCTCTATGGATCTCTATGGGTCTCCATGAGTCCGTGTGGATCTCTGTGGGTCTCTGACTATGTGTCTCTATGGATCTCTATGGGTCTCCATGAGTCCATGTGGATCTCTGTGGGTCTCTATGACTATGGGTCTCTATGGGTCTCTGTGGGTCTCCATGAGTCCATATTGATCTCTATGGGTCTCTGACTATGGGTCTCTATGGATCTCTGTGGGTCTATGAGTCCATGTGGATCTCTGTGGGTCTCTGGATCTCTATGGATCTCTATAACTATGGGTCTCTATGGGTCTCTATGACTATGGGTCTCTATGGGTCTCTATGGGTCTCCATGAGTCCATATTGATCTCTGTGGGTCTCTGACTATGGGTCTCTATGGGTCTCTGTGGGTCTCCATGAGTCCATATGGATCTCTGTGGGTCTCTATGACTATGGGTCTCTATGGATCTCTGTGGGTCTCCATGAGTCCATGTGGATCTCTGTGGGTCTCTGACTATGGGTCTCTACGGATCTCTATGGGTCTCCATGAGTCCATGTGGATCTCTGTGGGTCTCTGACTATGGGTCTCTACGGATCTCTATGGGTCTCCATGAGTCCATATGGATCTCTGTGGGTCTCTGACTATGGGTCTCTACGGATCTCTATGGGTCTCCATGAGTCCATGTGGATCTCTGTGGGTCTCTGACTATGGGTCTCTATGGGTCTGTGGGTCTCCATGAGTCCATATGGATCTCTGTGGGTCTCTATGACTATGGGTCTCTATGGGTCTGTGGGTCTCTGTTTGGGTCTCTATGGATCTACATGAGTCTGTGGATCTCTGTGTGGGTCTCTATGGTTCTACATGAGTCTGTGGATCTCTGTGTGGGTGTCTATGGTTCTACATGAGTCTGTGGATCTCTGTGTGGGTGTCTATGGTTCTACATGAGTCTCTGGATCTCTGTGTGGGTGTCTATGATTCTACATGAGTCTGTGGATCTCTGTGTGGGTGTCTATGGTTCTACATGAGTCTGTGGATCTCTGTGTGGGTCTCTATGGTTCTACATGAGTCTGTGGATCTCTGTGTGGGTCTCTATGGTTCTACATGAGTCTGTGGATCTCTGTGTGGGTCTCTATGGTTCTACATGAGTCTGTGGATCTCTGTGTGGGTCTCTATGGTTCTACATGAGTCTCTGGATCTCTGTGTGGGTATCTATGGTTCTACATGAGTCTGTGTGTCTCTGTGAGGGTCTCTATGGTTCTACATGAGTCTGTGGATCTCTGTATGGGTCTCTATGGTTCTACAGGAGTCTCTGGATCTCTGTGTGGGTCTCTATGGTTCTACATGAGTCTCTGGATCTCTGTGTGGGTCTCTATGGTTCTACATGAGTCTCTGGATCTCTGTGTTGGTGTCTATGGTTCTACATGAGTCTCTGGATCTCTGTGTGGGTCTCTATGGTTCTACATGAGTCTCTGGATCTCTGTGTTGGTGTCTATGGTTCTACATGAGTCTCTGGATCTCTTTGTGGGTCTCTATGGTTCTACATGAGTCTGTGGATCTCTGTGTGGGTGTCTATGGTTCTACATGAGTCTGTGGGTCTCTGTGTGGGTCTCTATGGTTCTACATGAGTCTCTGGATCTCTGTGTGGGTGTCTATGGTTCTACATGAGTCTGTGGGTCTCTGTGTGGGTCTCTATGGTTCTACATGAGTCTGTGGATCTCTGTGTGGGTCTCTATGGTTCTACAAGAGTCTGTGGGTCTCTGTGTGGGTCTCTATGGATCTACATGAGTCTCTGGATCTCTGTGTGGGTCTCTATGGTTCTACAAGAGTCTCTGGATCTCTGTGTGGGTGTCTATGGTTCTACATGAGTCTGTGGGTCTCTGTGTGGGTCTCTATGGTTCTACAAGAGTCTGTGGGTCTCTGTGTGGGTCTCTATGGATCTACATGAGTCTCTGGATCTCTGTGTGGGTCTCTATGGTTCTACATGAGTCTCTGGATCTCTGTGTGGGTCTCTATGGTTCTACATGAGTCTGTGGATCTCTGTGTGGGTCTCTATGGTTCTACATGAGTCTGTGGATCTCTGTGTGGGTGTCTATGGTTCTACATGAGTCTGTGGGTCTCTGTGTGGGTCTCTATGGTTCTACATGAGTCTGTGGATCTCTGTGTGGGTCTCTATGGTTCTACATGAGTCTGTGGATCTCTGTGTCGGTGTCTATGGTTCTACATGAGTCTGTGGATCTCTGTGTGGGTCTCTATGGTTCTACATGAGTCTGTGGGTCTCTGTGTGGGTCTCTATGGTTCTACATGAGTCTCTGGGTCTCTGTGTGGGTCTCCATGGTTCTACATGAGTCTGTGGATCTCTGTGTGGGTCTCTATGGTTCTACATGAGTCTGTGGATCTCTGTGTGGGTGTCTATGGTTCTACATGAGTCTGTGGATCTCTGTGTGG